TTCTGACTAGTGGAAAATCTCAAGTCTCCTTTATAAATCATCCCAGCCTCTACATCTCTGCACTATGTTTAGCATAGCCCTAATATCAAAACGGTGTGTACATTTTCCTTAGCACTGCTGGCCACCCCTCAGGACATTATTTAAAGACCATACTTGCCAAAACAAACTTTGCCCTTTGGCAAACTTATTTCCTAACATCTTTCTCCCATGAACATCATGTCCCCCAAGTGAAGAATGAAGAATGCGTGCTTGGCCAGTCCATGGCTCTATTATCAATCAAATACATGTATATGAGTATGCACTTGTTTGTGTTATGATTCAGTACTTACACTTTGGTCAGAATCTCCATTTTATCGTAAAGAGTAGCTCTAGTACCATGAAAGCTTTTGAGGGTACCTGTCCACATTCAAATGCAAAGTAATGGTTGATGTCTTCTTAGGCAGGTGATCAGAACAAGGTCTCTTATCTTCTACAAGAAGATAAATTCTTGCTTGATGCACCTATGCAAGACTGAAATTCTGATATGGGAGTTAGACACATAAATCTTCCTTTCAAAAGAGGAGATAGGAACAGGTATACTGGCAGGAGGAAATAACGACAATAGCAGTGCTTTCTTGCTAACCAGTATCTCTGTGGCTTGAACATGTATTGATAATTTCATATGAAATGCTTAGACAGACCTTGAAGCAGGACTGCTTTCCTATTTGCAGATTAATGTTTGAATCACTGATCTGAAGTCCTATGTCCTTCTGCTTTCTCAGTCTCTGGCTCAATGCACCTTGATTTTAGTTTTTGCAAAGTAACATAGCTTCACCATGACTGAGGGTTGCTTCTTTTCGTCCCTTCCCCAGAATGATAAAGAGCCAGGTGCTTATGGAACTCTGAAAAGAAGTGGGGCAGAAAGAGGATCAAATACTTCTGTGATGAAGAATGGATTGAACCTGTGCACTGTACTTCTCAGGGAACAGTTTTAAGAAGTAGGCAAAGAAAGCTCTTGCTGTATTTCTCCAAGGCTGACCATGGCTGTGCTGATTTGTGCAGTATTCAGTCCTGTTCGCATGCAGTGCGTGCAAAAGCTGCTTTAAGGATGCACCTAGTGCATTGGCATTTTCAGAGGATGTAGGTGGGTGAATGACTCGTTTATGCATCCTGACTGTGTGTAGGCAAGAGAAAGGCACAGAAGAGGTAAGCCTGCCAAGAGGGAAACCTTTCCCACAGAGCTCTAGTGGCACTCACATGACTAGCCCTCCCCTTCATTCCCAGCTACCAGTGTGATGTTTAATCATTTTCATCTGTCCTCCTTCCACATAAATATTTTTTCACTTGCCATCAGGGTGGCAGGCAGTCCAATAGGAAATGAGAAATAGCCCATTAACTTCTTTTGGAACATTTCTGATACATCCTGCTGGCTGGACTGCACAAAAATGGAAAGGTACTTGTGGAAACCTGGGTTTATTTAACTCACTGTCCTGTTTTCTTTCAAGTGTACAGAAGCTGAATGAGTTTCTCCTGAGTGATGAGATTGGAGATGACAGCTGGAGAGGTGGGGACAGCTCTGTAGCTTATGAATCCTGTAAGAAGCACACAGGACTTGTAAGTTCTGTTTTATGACGCTGAGTTTCTAAGCAGAGAGGCCATATAGCCTCATACAAGGCCAATGGATTAGCTGATAGGGCTTGGGAGTTTTGGCTTCTAGCCTGACCGTAACATTGCCCAGTTTTGCCTCTTCTATGTCAGGATCTTTGTGTTTCTGTGACATGAAGGGTCCCCAAACACATTTAAGTATTGCTGAAGTGCCAGTAGTAATAAAAACCCCATAACACACCAACACATTTACATATGGTTCAGGTTCACCCTTCTCAGTTTTTATAAAAGGCCCAGGTGCATTTCCTGTGGTTATGGGGTTTGTACTGTATATTTCCAGTACAACCCCTTGTATGTTGGGCATCTTTAGGTAGGACAAATTCCTGCTCTGGGAAATTCAGAATTGGAGGTGGGAAAAACACCACCAAACTTTGTGAAATAGGAATTCATTCCAAAATGCTATTTCTGGAGTGCTAAACATATAATGAATTTGAGTGAAATCTGAGGGCAAAAAAACCCAAGGGAGATGATTTGGGAAAAGTTATTTTTTCATTTTGACGTTTTCCAACAGTCTCAAACTGATTAAAAATTGTTCGAAATGTGACTGAAACTTGAAGACAGCAACAAAAAGAAAGGATTAGCACAAAATAAGTCTTACTTTGAGCTGAATTAAATTAGTTTGCCAACCCGAAACAACATTTTTCTTGTTTTTCTGGCTTAACAGCTATAATTAAGGAAACAAAAATTAAATTGTTTCAGCATTTACTTTGCTTCTCGTGTCCACCTTTTGCCTAGCCCTACAGAGAAACAGACAAAGTCTAGATGATGGGGAGAGGGAAAAATAAAGGTAATAACTGTAAAAGTTAAATCATTCACTGTAGACAGACCAGCTCCAAGGAGTCACTAAGATTACACCAATTCAGCTCAATACAGTGGCGCTTACAAATACCACAGGTAGCTCTGAATGAGCTAGCTCCGCAATCAGTATTATGTATTAGTGAAGTACTCTGCACAAGCTAACTTGATATGCTTCTTGCTCCTGCAGCAATTCTGCTCCCAAAAAACAAACTGGTAACTTTGCATGTCATTACAGTTTTACTGACACAGCTTTGTTTGGAGCTACCTCAGGTAGGGCAGACTTACCTAGTGGTTTAAGGAGGATGACAGAGCTGAAATTTGGGATGGTTATGCGTGGGAAACAAAAAATCAGATATTTCCCGTGCTTCAGTTAAGGGTGTTTAAAACATTACAATATATGCATCACAGTAGTGTGTCTGTATTATCAGGCATATTTCTGGTTTCTTCTTGTGACCTAGAGTGGTGGGAGGAAAGGGAGTGGATTGTCTATTTTATAGGGAACCAAATGCTGTCCTCTCTTGAGAATTCCAGCTTTTCTCCTTTCTTCATTTCACTATGTAGCACACTAAGGCCATCAACAGGAGGCAGCCCTTGAGGTATCAACTTGAAAGCTATGAACAGCCAACAAGGAAGCAAACACGTCCTGTGGAGATAGATGATATCGCAATCAAGGTGATTTGAAAACATCATCTCATTCTTTACGAGGAGCTGGTCCTCCTGCAACAGTACCAGATAGTGCCCAATGGCTGCTGTTCTTCAAAAGGCAAATTGTCCATTGCAAGAACAAGCGCTTAAATAAATTAGCACTTTAGCCAAAAATAAAGTGAGAAGAATTCGCTTCAGACCAGCTCTTTATAGTGATTCCCTGTCTTCTCAGGAAACAAAGAGGCATCATGAGTCTAAAGGAACAAAACCTAGATAATCTTGATATGCAGAAATTAATACAGATTTTTTAGACTTTCCCTTCATGCACTTCTCTTTCACTCTTAGAACCAAGATAAAAACTTTTGAGTCATTTTGTGACATTTATTATGATGTGTCATTTATTATGACATTATTTTCAGTCATGTTGGCCAACTTTTCCCCACGTATGTGCTCTGTGCAAAGAATGTTTCATGGCCCTGTCAACTCCAAAGGAAGTATGCACAAAAAGGCTAGGATCCACTGGGGAACATTTTTCTTATGTCCAGCATAAACCTTGTGAAAATTCAATTTGTACTTTGGGAATACATTCACAAGGGGCCATATATCACAATATGCAGAATGATTCATTCCTTGATAAGCTATGCTATTTAGATTGTCACCTGTGAGGTCTTGTGATCATTATTCTTTGTCTTTAATCTTATACTTGAAAGAATGAAAGTATTTGGTAAATAGAGTTCAACTCAAGATCATCCCTTTATTGCATTTCATACAGTGTATATATTTGTGTATATAACTTTTCTTACTCACAAACTTTTCTGAGTTTGGCAATCTTTACTAACTTAACTTGCTTTTTTGTGTATGAGCATACCTCACCGTATCTATTACAGATTTATTTTAGTAACATATTTTAAATCCAAACTAGACATTCTTTTTTCCCTCATGTGTTTATGTGTCTGACATGTGGTAATTGTTTTGTAGGTGACCAATGGATACTTTTCATGGGGAAGCGGTTTAGCTACATTGTCCAACATAAATATCAGAATCCCAACAGGTAGGATAAATGCACATCTTAAACATGAAATGTGTAAATCAAATTGCTACTAATTCCATTTCTTGATTTTGTAAAAAGCACATAACCACAAATTTAGATTTTTATAAGAAAAAATGAACGTTAAAAATTTATACAAGGTCATGAACTGTATTGGTCATATAGCTGTATCATTAACCTACAGTACTATAAGTAAACAAAAAATTACATGTTTTTTATATACCTGTCCTGGTTTCGGCTGGGATAGAGTTAATTTTCTT